GTTACCAGCCGTATAAAATATTTTTTTATTAACATCTCGTAAGTTTGGAAAAATCTCTGGTGGTACAGATTCCGCTAATTAATCAAAAATCGCATATTGGTGAATGGCCAAGTTTCAGATGATGTAGATGATATAAGGAATTTCGTCGTAATGTATTGAAACTTGACGTTTGGAATTATTACCTATGATTATTACGAACCTCAAACAATTTCTCAGAACACACAATAATAACTGCGATGGAAAATGCAGAGATGGATTTCGATGGTCGTTGATTCAGAATGCTCTCCACTGGATGTGTTCAAATGGAAGGAGCTGATACTGAGCTGGCTCCTCTTTTGATTCAGACATCTACTTTTATCTCCGATTAAGAATCAAACGCAGACGCGTTGTCACCCCTGAGAAGTAATGCTCGATATACATGGTCACTTAAACTGATCAGTGAACTGACGAACATCCAAAACTGACCGTGAATGTGAAATCTTAGGTTGAAATTTTTAACTGACGGCAACCATTTTAAACGTGATAGAGCTACACTGCAGCTATTATGGTTGTAGCAGGGTCGGCTCAACCGGGGAGGACCACGCTCTTACAGAATACCAGCGTAAAATGGCAGCGTAATGCTATATGTATGGTGAGTGTAGAGGACCGAAGACCCGTTTTACTGGAATCGAGGCATTCCATCTTAGTCCTCAAGGGTGACAACGCATCTCCGTTTTGATTCTTAAGCGAGGTTAAATGTAGATGTCTATGGGCCACAGCATCCACTTACAATCAGGTGGACTGTGTGCTCGTTTGTCACCCTTATCCTAAAAAAACCCCACGGATTTTGCCGTGAGTACGGTCAGTTAAACTCATCAGTTGAATTGACGTATATCCAAAAACGTTCCAGTAGTGAACGCCGACTTGAAGCCAGTGAGTGGAGATATAGTTATGGCTTACATCCGTTTTAACTGATCAGTTTAACTAACGGTATGTGTTGAGCTGAAAATAGAATGCCTCATGTCCAGTAAAAAGGCTCTCCAGTTCTCTATACTTAGCATACGAAACACAGCAGTAGGTATTAAGCAGGTATTTCAATCTTGGCACGGGCGTTGTAAAACGCATCACTAGTTATATCATCTATATAGCAATAAGTAGCGTTGCTGGTTTGCAACATATCATTGATATGCAGAAGTAACAGAGGTGATAGCAGGCTGGCTTGTGGAAAAGTAGTATTAACAAGTTTCAAGTCGAAGCATGTACTATTCCCTACGACTATGATGCTTCTTCCTTAAAATTGGTGAAGTAGGAGTAGTGTAAGAACCGGTGCCATTTTCGAAGCACATGTCTTAAGCACAATTATAGAGACTGTAGGGTTTAAGTGCGGACAGTGTTTTGCGCACTGACCTCTTCAGTAACCGCATTGAGCACTTACATTGTGGTATAATTTGCAGTGTGTCCCTGTCATCGAGAGTCGAGTTGGACGTAAAGAGATTGTTGGACGTAAAAGATCAGCTTTTTTACGGTATGGGCTAGTGAATCTCCGTCCTTGTGCAAAGATGGAAGAGATGACTGATAGAAGTTAGAGAAAGGAAGGCAAACTAATTTCTTGTCAATTCTGCCGATGAATTCTGACTATGCCTTCGTTTTAACTCTATTGTAAGACCTGGGGAGCAGAATAGTAGTTCTTATTTTTATAAGAGTGCTGGTGTTTGCATCACGAAACTGCTGGGATTTGCCTTATATGAACACCATGGATTGAGAAAGATGTTACTGTTTTGCACTGTCTCATATATGAAATACTACTGCATGAGATAGATGTTTTTCAGTTAGTAGGGAATGCACTTGTACAATATATTAATTTAAGCATTTCTATATATTAATTTAAACGTTTCTGCAAGGACGGGCATGCGTAGTATTTCCTCACAAAAACTTTTTTTCAATGATCTCGAATTATAAACCAAATTCCGAAATTGCTTCACCCAAAAATAACAGAATGGGCATAAATTTACCTATAAAATACTAATTTTTTTTTCACTAGAAAATAGACAAAGCCTTTTTTTAACGTCGATATATTTAAGGGCGGGCAGTGCGTCTAAAATTCTCGGCTGTATCACTGCCCTCGCTTCTATGCCGGGCCCATAAATCTCGCCTATCTTTGCTATGTTTGGCGTCTCCGTCGGATTGTGAAGAAGTATCTGAAATATTTTCATGAATAATTAAAAATATCTCCTTTTGAATGCACAGGAACAGTAGGAGAACAGAAGAGCTGCTAAAGTGAACATTATCATTGTTCGTTTTATTCGAAAAGTACGCCGTCGAGTTTCCGCGATAGCGGTAGGTAATTTTCTTGCGGTAATAGAAAAATTAACTTAACTGTGATTAATTTTCCTGTGGTCTTGTGGTAATATAATGTATAACTATGATATTGATGTGTTTTATATTACGTAGTAGAGCCACGCTGTAGCAATTATAGCTGCAGCACGAACACGACCAAGAAAGTACTTTGTTCTGTTAAGTTTCATATAATTGTTACGAGCTTAGGGTTCGTGACAGTGAAAACTGCCGATTGAATTACCAAAAGTGACACTTTGATTGCCGAACACCAATTAAAACTTAAAAAACACTAATAATTAATCACACTTAACACGTTAGTTCATTTTATTTCGCTCCTAAGTCTTCACTTGTATCGCCAATTCAATAATGCCCCGGTCGCGGTCCCTAACGCCTTTATATAGGACCTGTTTTACTGAAACATCCAGAATGCTTGAGGACATACCGGTCCCGACCGACTAGGTGTAGAAAGTTCTCTTCCAGTTCCGCCACTCAATACTAGATGGCGCTAGTGTGAAAGTTATATCATGGAACTTTCTAGAAAGCTCTCCTCGCTCTGTTACCCGAGACTAGATGGCGCTAATGGCATTACTTATGGCTTGCAACATTATGCTGACTGTGAGAATCGAAAACTTTTCTTACTAGTAAGAAGGCATTTCATCTTATAGTCCGTTCGCGTTAAGAAAATAGTGAGTCATCGCCGGCCTGACCACGCCTCCCAGCCAATTAAAATGCAAGAAATTAGAAAGTCGAGTTTATAGTGACTAGTTGAAGTCAGGCCTTCGAACAAAACGGTTGTTACTTGTTCAACATTAAATTTTGAAAATGAATACCTATATATATACCTCACCTATTCGAAACAGTAAAAGTGGATCAATAATCCATAGCGGAGAGAGGCGTAATTTACAATGTTTATAAGAACTTTAAACTGTGTGATTTAAATGCGACTGTGGAGAGCACACTAATAAAAACAGCAAGTGCATGTGGTGTGTCCGAAAATACTGTTTATAAAATTATTAAATAACAAAACGATTTTAACTCATTAAAATCACCCGTAAAAAAAAGAGCTCGACTATCGACGGTCGACAAATTAGATGAACTAGACAAATCGACACCTCCATGCAATAACATCGTAACTCATTTTTTTCCATAAATTGCGTTACAATGATTTTACTATGTAAAAAAAATACAATTTTTCTGTACAATCATTGTAATTCTGCTCCCATTCGATTTTAAAATAAACAAACGTCAAAGTATTGTAACATAACAAAAAAGTATTTTTTTGTCAACAATATCGTTGCAACTTGATTTACAATTTATAGAAAATATTATGAGTAGCAAATCAATCAAATACAACAACATTGTAACATTATATACAATTTTTGTACATGACAAAATTGGGGTTTATGGCTATGATACGTAATGCTACTGCTTTGTATGTTGACTTACAATGTTGTTGCGCGGATATTTATGTTAGTTTTTATCGTGTTATGACAAGTTATGTCGAATTGCGATGTTGTCGTCTAGCAGTTTACTCGCGCTTTAGAAGTTTAGTGTTGTTGTGTGGTTTACTATACAGAAGTGAGAAGTGTACATGGTGACTATTTCGGCTTTTAAGTAATAAGATAATAGTAATAAGATGAAGCGTAGCCAAAATATTTTAAATTTGGCATTATCATTAAGTGGAATTCCAATTGGTAAATTGTATTTTAGTGTAAATTATCAGCGTTAGCAATAACTACGTATTGGTAAGCGCATCGGAGCCGTTCAGTCAGTTTAAATTAAAAATGTACCGAGTTAAAGTTGTACGGAGTAACCGAATACAGAGTTTTACTCGGATTTGTTATTTATTACAGAGTCGAGTACTTTGTTGAGTTACTCAGTTCAGGTTTATGCAGGTCTGGCGCGAAAACACGTTTATACGTGATCACTTGTGCATGTACATTGCGCTGCGACGCTCCTCGTCAGATGTAAATGCTTGCTAAGATTAACTTTGTTAAAATTGGTACTTTACATTTTAGATCAAGAGGTAGCTTCGACTTCGTCCAAGGCAAATGATCATGCTACGCAGAAAGTTATTCCACCACAAGATAATAGCTATTTTATCGAACGCGGTGAAGACTTACTTTCATTCAAAAATAGTATGCGGGAAAATGCGCTTGTAAATTATTACCCAGATTCCTTCACCTCATCTAGTAGAAAAGAACCATTTTCTCCTGACTTTTCGGAATATATCCCTTCCGACCAGGATGTTTCAAAAAATAGTTCTCAACATTCTTCAGAACATAATATTCCTTTACAAGAGATACCAACAGCTACAAACATATCTGAAAATATTACCACTCCCGAAGGGCAAGAAGCAAGAAAAGTGAAAAGGAATGTTCCGAAAAAAACTAATCCGGGTAGAAATCGAGGTCATAATCGAGAAAACTGGAAACGTAACTTAAGTAAGCGAAAGAAAAATTCGGGCGAAGAATATGAATACAGAAGCGGAATCTTAGTCCCAAAGAAAGTTATGAGGAGTGGTTGTAATAATGCCTGTACTAGGAAGTGCAAAGAAAGATTAATGGAAACGACAAGACATGCAATTTTCAAAGATTTTTGGGGTTTGGGCGACCACACAAGACAAGCTGATTTTGTTTGTAGATTTGTAGATAGAGTTTACACTACAAACTATTTACAAAAACATGGACAAAGAAGGCACTGGGCTTATAGCAGGAGACTTGAGGGGTCGACATAATAATCGGAAAAGTTTGATACCGAATGAAGTTAAAGAATCTGTTAGAGATCATATTTCGTTAATTCCTATAGTGGATTCACATTATGTAAGAAAAAGAACTTCCAAACTGTACTTTGAAGAAACTTTAACATACCCTGCATTGTACAGGCTTTACGTTGATTGGATGAAAGAAAATCGTCCGTTGAAACAAGTGGCAAATTCTAGGCAATATAAGGCCATTTTTTATAACGAATATAATATTGAATTCCATAAGCCTAAGAAAGACCTTTGTATTCTTTGTGATAGATATAAGAGAGGATCTGAAAAAGAAAAAGATGACATGAAGCTTGAGTACACCTTGCATATTGCGAATAAAACAGTGGTAAGAGAGGTGAAAGAGACTTATAAGTATCAGTCGAAACAATCTAACGTTATAGTTACAGCCGCTTATGACTTACAGAAAGTATTGAATACACCTCAATCAGAAGTTTCGCTCTTTTACTACAAAAGGAAATTTGCCGTATACAATTTTACTATATATGATATAGGAAAGGCCGAAGGATATTCATATGTCTGGAATGAGACAATAGGCAAGAAAGGATCCTCAGAAATTAGTAGCGCTGTGTTTCTTTTTATTAAGCAGAAATATGAAGAAGTACTGGAGAAAAGATGTCTTGGACTAAAATAAAACATATTAAAATAGAAAACGAAAACCCTGACTTAATATACTTTCAATATGATTATCTCAGTGATCAGTACTTATCTATCAACCTTGCTGTACACGCATTACACGAACAAAAAGAGCACAAGAGTCAATTCAGTGTGAACAGTCAAACGACGGAGAAAGTATTCCTTTATTGTATAATAAAGTGCTCCCAATATCAACAGCAAAGTATAAGGATCTTGTAAGTTTGTGTAAATGTAAAGCGATACCAGATATTTATCACAATTTCGATTTTAATCTTCCACATTCCACTCAACTAGCTGAAGACAACGGTAGTGATGATGAAAATTAATAGTTTTTAGTTGATTTCCTATTTTTTGTTTGTTTTTCAGAAAGAAGGTTTTTATGTTTAAAGAATAAATATATAATTAAGAATAAAGATAATAGTTTTATAAAGTCAAAGTTTAGTTTTCGGGAGAGAATTAGATTTTTTATAATTAAAAAAAATATTTAGTGTCATAATTATAAGTCGGATAATAATGTTTGTATCCAGTGAAGTTTTCTAATTTGATGTCAATAAATATTTTAATAGTACGAAACTGCTTTTTTATCCTTTAAGTCAATAAAACATTATCATAATAATTCGTAAGAAAATAAATTTATTACACGTCACATTATGAGATGATTCTTTACAGATTTATAGTTGTTTGCATGAAAAATATTTAAATTTTACTATGAAGAAACATTTTAGGTAACATAACACCTCGGAGTTACAATTATCTGACAACAAAAATAAAATTAGCTTACAAAAAACTAAATTGTATCTCAGACATACAATGCTTGTTCTCGTAACTTATATGCTATTTCAATGAATTGTTTTTCACGTAAGTCATGAAAAACCATGAAATCAACTTTTCTTTTACAACCTAACCGTAAATAAAAATAGTGCACCTAAATAATATTAGATAGTGACAGCTTCAAATATTGTAGGGGTCGTTTTGAAAGTGGTACATTTTTTTTAAACTTTAAATTCTGTCTACTCTACAAACATAAAAAATTAGTTACGATTTTATTGCATGGAGGTGTCGAAATGTGCAATAAGGAGAAAAATTCACTCAATTTATTTAAATAACGACTACCCGACATTGGACAAAATTATGACACTTTGCGAAGCTGACGAAGATATTCCTGTTTTCAAACGTATCACACTTCATAAAATAATGCACGAGCTTGGTTTCGATTTCAATAAACAGTATAGCAGAACATTGTGAGTCGAAAGAGAAGATATTTTTTATAGAGGCGTAAATATCTGAGGCAAATAAAAGAATACAGAGCCGTTAATAAAACCATTTACTATCTTGACAAAACGTGGGTAAACAACGCACACGTAAAGACGAAAGCATGGTTGGATACAACGGTAAAAAATAAAAGAAAGCCTTTCTAGATGGCTTATCAGCCGGTCCAAAAGCTCCGACAGGAAAAGGTAAAAGGTTAATTGTATTGCACATTGGCAGCGATAAAGGATTCGTGGAAGATGGTCTACTAGTATTTGAATCTAAGTCTGCAAAAGACTATCATGAAGAGATGGATGGTGAAAGATTCTTTTTAAAGATTCGAGACTTAATTGGTTCATTAATATAATGCCTAAGCTAGAACCAGGAATTGTGGTTGTCATGGATAACGCTCCCTATCATTCGGTAAGAGGCGAAAAAATACCAACAACCAGCTGGAATAAGCAGCAAATAATAGATTGGCTGCAAAGCAAAGGCAAATCCATGGACATGACTTATTTAAAAAAAGAATTATTAATGAAAGTTGCCGAAATCGCCCCACAATATAATAAATATTTAATAGATGAGACTGCCAAAAGTAATGGCATTACAATTCTTCGCCTACCGCCTTACCATTGCAAACTTAATCCAATTGAATTGGTTTGGGCCCAAATAAAAAATTATGTTGGTGCCAATAACTCCACGTTCAAAATGAGTGAGTGACATAAAAAAATTATTAGATGACGCAATAGCATTAATAGACGTTAATCGTTGGAAGAAGTGCTGCGACCACGTGATACGCGAAGAAAATACCATGTGGAATTTGGATGACATCATGGAACTTGCAGAACAAAATTCTTTCATAATTAATGTAACTGGAGAATCTAGCGATACTGATTAGTGATTTAAGTAATTTTAAGAAAATTTGTTTCCACTAAACTTAATTAAATGTTTGAAAAAAAAAAAGAATTTTTACTCCACTGTGAATACACCTTTACCCTGTAGTTGCACTGATGATTCACTATTTTCTTAACGCGAACGGACTATAGTCCTGGTAGGGATGACAACACATTTACATGTTGATTGACAATCGAGGATAGATGTATGTGATTTTCGGGCACAACATCCACTTACCATTTTGTGCTCGTTGGAAAAAGCAACAAAAGAGTTTGCGTTGAAACGAAAGAGGTTACAGTTACTTACTTCTGTTAAAAAAAACTGCACTTAGCACAGTAACTGCTTAAAAGTTTTATCAACTAAATATATTAATTAATTATATACAAATTATCATTGTATACTCTGCTAGATATTGGATAACATAATAAACAGGACAAGTTGATCTAATCCCATGTGGTCTAGGTGTATGGTGGCAAAATTTGTAATGAGGCGAATTGGAAAAGGCGACTAGGTATATCCCACAAATAATTATAGATTTTGTCTATTATTTGAATCAATTTTATTTCATATACGGGCGCTATGTCAGGCCGGCGCTAGAGCACCGTATAACTTTTATGCCTTAATGGCCATTATAAGGTTGAATTATAATATAATATATAAAAATTGGTACAAATAAAAAAAAAGTTAGTACTCACCTTGAAACCGATGCTTTTTGTCGAAGCACAATAATATTCAGCTATGTTAGCATCTAAGATCAGCGTCAAACCGTGATTAGTACCGACGCCTGGTCACCGAGATTAATGGAAAAAGAGCAGAAAATTAAATTTTAAATAAATTATAGTATTTATTTTGATGCAGGTTTTATGGATGTTTCAGTCTGTTTATTACGTCGACTTCATGTATGGTTGGTAAGAAACACGTTGAATCAACTTTATTCTTGAACCAATTTTATGAAATAAACTGTAATTGAATCAATGCAATTATAGTTTAACTAGCTGTTCCCCACGACTTCACCCGCGTGTAACTTAAGGTTTTAATGTTTTTGCGCGGAACCCTAATTTTTCTCTTTTTCTTAAAAAGTACCCTTAGTTACTCCTTATAACATCAGCTAACTGCCAGTGAAAGTCTCATCGAAATCGGTCAAGTCGTTTCGGAGATTAGCCGGAAGAAACAGACAGACAGGCAGACGGACAAAAAATTTAAATATCGTGTTTTTGTTATAAGTACTATATATATATATATATATATATATATATATATATATATATATATATATATATATATTAAGCATTTAGTATAAAGCTGTTATTTTGACATTGCAAACAGAAAATTCAATTTTATTTATTTGTATGCACAAAGGTGTGAAAGAAAATATTTTTGCAAAATTTACTTTAATTTAATTTATATTAAGGACATGTAATCTTAAGAAAAATATAACAGTAAATTAAATTAATACCAGCGTTGAAAATAGTAAATGAATAAATAAATAAATAAGTTTTTGTTAGTAGTAGTAGTAGTAGTGGGTAGCTGTAATTCGCCACATTTTGAAAATTCACGATTTTTGGTATGTACTATACTTTTTGTATTTATTTGAAATAATGCCCAATTGAAAATTCCCAATTTAAAATTATTTTTAATTTTTTCCATACTTGCAGTAGTATGCTTTAGATTTGCGTTATTTTGGTTCAAACTTATATCATGTGTATATTCAATCATTTACCTACTCAGTATGCATTGAAAAGATAGACTATTTTCAGTAATTTACATAACAAAATGTATTACGGTATTTTGCTATAGGAAAACGCGACTGACATTAAAACTATAATAACTAAGTTTAGCTGAAGAGGGTCATAAAACATTATTATTTAAAACTTTAGAGTTCCTTAGCCAAAATTTTAAGCAAATTTAATTTTGGTCTCTTAACATATTTACGAAAATATATATGTAGTAAAAACATATAAGTAGTTTAAAAACAGTAATACATTCTGTAAATAGGCTACAAGCTAGTAATATCGGTTGCTCGAAACAGTTAGCAATTATTAATTAACAGAGCAATATATACGCTTTAACAACAAAATCCCAGAAAATATACAAAGTTTGTCTACCGTAAATTTCACCGTTTAGTGGCAACATATCCCATTCCATCCCTTAGTTAGAGTAAGAAAGGGTTGAAAATTAACAGGTAATGGGTAGCAGCAATTTCCGGACAATAATAGAAAAAATCCGCACATAATAATAGAAAAAATCTGCGGTTTTCTATCCGTCTACCAAGCATGGTAAGGATAACAATTAACCGCTCAATAAAGCAATCTAAGGGGGAGAATATGTTTAGCAGTGGACTATTGAAAGGCTGCAATGAATGAATACATGCATTAAAGTTCTTGGTTATCTTAATATAAAGGAAAACATGAATCAACCCCTTGAAATGATGAGGTCTCTACCAAGCTATTTAAAATATGATTTGTATATTTAATTCTAAAACATAAGACATGACTGTAATCTGTTCTCTTTAAAAAAAAAAACCCTACCAGGTTTCTTGTTGGAACTTTCTAGGACAGAGAAAGATTCTTTTTACAAATGCTGCAGACAAGCAACTTTTGTTGAACGAATATATTATTGAACTTAAGGAACTCGACTATTACATTTTGGTCAAAACTACTTTTACGGATTTTATAGCGTTTAATTTATTTAATTTTTAATTCCCGAAGTTTCGGGTGCTTTCCAGCACGCAAGGTTACGAGGGACTGAGGTGACTGACGTCCCGATGCCAGTGTTAACCCGGAGTACCATCTCAACTACCTCACTGCGGTACCTCTATGCCAGAGGTACCTATCACCAACAAGGAGTTTCTTAAAACCTTCCGAAGACTAGACGTGAACGAAGCTAGTGGATCTGATGGTATACCGGCAATAGTTATGAAGATCTGTGCACCTGAGTGGTCTACTACGTTGACACGCTTTTTCCGCCTCTCATTCAGAACTGGAATAGTGCCCAAATCTTGGAAGTTGGCCAATGTGCAGCCTGTGCCTAAAAAGGTAGACGTGCCGACACTGCCAACTATCAGCCAATTTCAATTACCTCCATACTCTGCAAGGTTGTGGAGCGTATATTGAACGCACACTTAATGGAATACCTAGAACAAAATGACCTGAGTGACCGGCAATACAGGTTTCGCCGAAATCGGTCAGTTGGGACCTTCTAGCATATGCCACAAACTTATGGGGCGATGCGCTCGAGAACAGTGGGGAAGCACATGCTATTTCTCTTGATATCTCGAAGGCCTTTGATAGAGTTTGGCACGCTAACCATTTGAGTAAGCTTCCAGCATACAGCTTATCCTCTGGTCTAATTGAATGGGTAAAGGACTTTCTGAGTGAACGGTCTCTCCGGGTCGTCGTCGATGGCTGCTCATCCGATCCTGTGGCGACTGACGCCGGTGTTCCTCAAGGGTCCGTTCTCTCCGCAACTCTCTTCCTGCTGCATATTAATAATCTGCTTGTACCCAGTATCTATGGGTATACAGACGATAGCACATTTCTAGAGAGATACCAACCAAGTGCCCGGGCCAGTCGGAATCAAATCCAGTCCAAAAGAGAGATGCTACGGTTGAGCGTGTGAATCTCACACTACAGGCAGTATCCGAATGTGGCGATGCCAATCTTGTGAGATTCAATGCCTCCAATATACAAGCGTGGTTTTTCGCCGCTAAAAGGAGCCCGCTTACCCTGGCTCCTACTTTCCGGATTGTATTCTTGCAGTGCACTGACCGCCTTCAGTCGTTAGAGGTTAAAAATTCTCCGAATCTCATTTATGGGTGGTTCATTGAGTCTAAGGCCAAAGCAGCCGCAAGGAAACTTGGTGTTCTTGCAAGGGTGCCGCGGTAATTCACACTGGGGCAGATTCTTATCTTATATAAAGCGCAAGTCCGGTTGTGCACGGAGTACTGCTGTCTCTATGGGCTGGTGCTGCAAAATGCCACCTGGTAGCGTTGGACTTAGTACAGAGACGTGCTAAGGGGTTCATTGGTGACCTTGATTTGGTTGAAACCAAACTTGTCAGGTCGTGCAAAGTCGCAGAGTAGCCAGCCTCTCGATATTCTATGGGATGCATTTCGGAAAGTGTGCGCAGGAATTGTGGGATTTACTTCCTCATTCTCTTTTCCACCATCGGACGACCAGGCGGTCGGCGGGTCTTCACCCCATTGTTGTCGATATTATACGCATTAGAACCAAACCGTTTAATTCGACTTTTTTAATGCGTACAGCAAAGGAGTGGAATAATTTGCCGGCGTTTATCTTTCCGTCCGAATACAATCTGGGCGTCTTCGAGGCAAGAGTGAATAGGCTTTTGTTACGCTAAGACAGTGCGATTTACCATCTAAGGCTGCATCACTACTTACCAGGTGGCATTGTGGTCAAGCACTGGCTTATAAAAGTAGAAAAAAATTGAAGCATTTAAAGGTGGCCATGCTGAACGAATGGAAAGTGACTACTTGTTCAAATTGAGTTTGATAAGAAATCAAAGCGTTACATATAATATTAGTCAGAGATATTTTACTAAATGTTATATTTTGGATATGTATCTACAAATCCCTGCTGAATTTAGCTGACACGGTCACATTTGGTTGTATTTTTTTCATTAAATATACAGGAGTACATTGGATTAGTGCACACTTTAATTACCAATTCAGAATGGCCGAGTCAAGCAAATGACCTTACGAATATCATAATTGAGAAATATTTATGAGCAAATTAGTACTTATTCTTCGAGGTGAGCAAAAAAGGAACGGAAAAGTAAAGTAACAACTTAACTAATGGTATTTAATTTTCATTTTACTTTGTTACCTTTAGGTTTCCATGGAAATCCGTTAGGTGGTGCATCTGAAGGGTATCCTCCTTCCGGCGTCCAGTCTACGGATGGTGATGGGAAAGTTAAGTTCAAATCATTTAGATCTTTGCTGTAAATGACAAAATATATTGTGTCAATGTTAGTAGATTTACAACCTGGTAGATGACTAGTTTCGATGATGTTAATCCTGCTAGCCTATGCGGCTCTCACAGCTTCGTAGGACTCGAACCTGGTAGAGAACTCTTTATAGGTGATTTATATGTATTTCGATCTGTTTTGTAGTCAGTGTAATAAATAAACATTCTATTGCCCCTGCCAATAGTCCAATAGTACACAGTATGCAAGCAATGCGGGGACGACTTCCGACGGCACTAATGAAATTGCTAATTGCAATATTAAGTGCTGATTTAATACGTGAAGAAACCTGCATGTTCGAGGCATGAAATATTATTTCGAGGATATGTGAAGTTCACTGGAGTAGCGCGGCGAAGTAATAGCTTTTGGAACCGGCTTGTTCGGGAGGCTGGTAGTCGTCGAGTCTACGTGCGAGACGTTTCGTATGTCTCTCGAAAACAGCACGTATCACAGCAGAAATCGATCTATTGATAAATAAGGCGGTTCGTATTAATTTGTATGTTTATTATGAATAAACATACAGCTTTCTAAAAACATCACACAGAATATTTTTAGTATTAAGTGCTAGTTTTGGGATTCCAATTTTTTGTCATTTATTATTTTATCAAAATAAATCTTAACTATTATGGATTATGATAAATTATGCGATATTTTGTATGAATTTGATGATATATTTTGAATGTACATACGGATTTCTAAACATATTTTCACGATGCACTACGTTGAAGGTACAACAGAGTCCTTCGTCAGTAAGCTGTGCATTAAACAAGTCTTGGCAGCTCATGTGTTTTGAGTCCCATATGCACGTTGCTAGCATTTCGTGGCAGGGTTGTGTTACCTAAAATTCAATACGACCTTTGAATATTTTTGTTCTATAGAATCTTCTTTTTTTCTTTATTTAAAAAAATAAGTTTTTCTCTTACACTAGGGACTTCCCCTGAATCGTAGTTATTAAGAATTTAAGATTTACAAATTTATGCATACAAGAACATAAATAGCCAAAAATATTGTTTTATGTTAGATGTTTGTTTCTTGCGGGATTCGAATCCGCAGCTTAAAGCGCCGCAACCAAACACTACTAGTAGTAGTAGTGGTAATGGTAGTGGTAGTGGTAATGGTGGTGGTGACGGTAGTAGTGGTAGTGGTAGTAGTAGTGGTAGTAGTAGTAGTGGTGGTAGTGGTAGTGATGGCGGTGGTGTTGGTAGTAGTAGTAGTGGTAATGGTGATGGTAGTAGTGGTAGTAGTAGCGGTGGTGGTGGTAGTGGTAGTGGTAGTGATAGTGGTAGTAGTGGTGGTAGTAGTAGTGGTGGTGGTAGTGGTAGTGGTGGTGGTGGTGGTAGTAGTGGTAGTGGTAATGGTATTGGTAGTGATAGTGGTATTGGTAGTGGTGGTGGTAGTAGTAGTAGTCGTAGTAGTAGTAGTAGTAGTAGTGCCGGCACAAATAACACCATCATTGGTGTTTTTAACAAATTCATCAAATCATTCGGTGTAATTAACAAATATAAATTTGTTAATTACATACAATGTTCAATGGATATTTACAAGCAGCATGAAGAAACCTGCATGCTTGCACGCACAAAATCAGCGCAACAGGCTAACTGTTCCATAACCCTCACAGAAATAAGAGGTCTTTGCACATTAGTGGATGTATTATATGCTGTTGCATCTTTACTTTGTATTGTTATACAAAAATATTTGAATCAAAAGTGAAAACTGACATTGATGAGAAAGGAGCGAGTGTAGTCCCAATTAGCACTCTCTGCAATTTGGTCTTCAAAAAGGTCTACGTCGGTTTCGGTTGAACATAAACTGTCCAGTAACTTTTTGTCCAAGGAAATTCTGAAATTATGTTTTTGCATTAATCTTTGCTTTCTGTTAAAGGTCTATAAACCTAAAAATTTATTAATTTATTTAAAAACTAAAACTAGATAATTTTACATATTGAAAACTACAATGATGTGATAAGGGTTTTTTGGTAAATGCCACAGTTTAGAAAATAAATTACCTAAAATACCCACTAAGGGCTCGTACAGATTAAAACCCCTTGGTGTTCCGTTACTAAGTAGGTAGCTCAATCTTGCCAAATGTTAAGAAATCATCGATTCAAGTAAACGAACTTGAACCGACTTTGAACCGAGTACCAACCGAGTATACTTTTAGCAAAACCTACTTGCATACCTTCTTACACTTAGTTCAAAAGTATCGATTTTCAGTTCAAAACAAAAATATCGAGTAAGTAATAAGTACTTGCATTTCTTGAATCGTTTTGTTCATAATAGCGATGTACCACTAGTTCTGTCCTGTGGCTCTAGTACTGCCGCTCCTTTGAGGCGCTGGTTGTCAAACAGGGCAAGAGGAGTCGGTATTACGATGCACCTCTCTACCTACCGTCTGCGGTCGAAACACAGGTATTTAATCGGTGGAAGCTTAAAATGACCTGGCCTTTTCTTTGCAAAACGGTTGTGTTTCGGGTAGTTACCAAAATGCTTAATATAATAATTATCTTACTCTAAAAGTTATCTCGAACTAGGAATTTTCCTGTCATGCAGTCGTTTTATATTCATGAATTGCGCTAGGATAACTCCAGCGGGAAACAATTATTTATATACCATACAAATACTTATTCCATAATGGCATGGAAATTCTCGTTGCCATAGTATTTTCACATAATATGAATCTGGAATAAGATATTGATATGGTAACATTTTGCCTGCATTAATCTTAGTTGCGGTCTACGACATGCAAGGGAAATTTGATAACAGCATAAGATTTAGGGGTTAATACTCACCCAGAGTTAATATATCGTTTTGCTACTGATTTCTTTGCTTGGTTTACATTACAGACAGTCAGAGCAGGAAAGGGTAGATCTTGTAGATGCATGTTCTCAGAGTTAATGCTTACAATCATAGGTGACAGGCTCCATTTGTTAAAAACGTTTAGAATGAAGAAGGCGGCACAAATCAAAGAGGAACAAAATGCCTTTAACCAGAAAAATCTATAATTCAGAAATCACATGGAATTGCTTAAAAATTCTGCCAACATTGATTATATTGACTGATAATAACTTAACATGCAATTGTTAAGCAATGTTATTTAATTTTGATATGATAGTAAATTGTTGAACGGACACTAAGAAATACAATACGTAAAAACACATTTTATTTCGCATTAAAGACAGACAGATTATATAATTAAATAAACAAACAGAGAAAAAAAAGAAAGGCTTTGTTACTATTGTTTCACATAAACACGAAATATAAATATAAATTTTGGTAAATCCAAATATGCATGTCTTAAGAGCTTGTTATACGTCAATTTTTTTAAGTGTTTTAAATACACCAAGTTTTCACAAATAACCTTGGTACTTTCACTTCTAATTTTCCGATAATTTTATGTCAAACGTCAAAAAAAAAGTTTTGAAAATACAAAAGTGCACGGCTTATTATGCCCATATGATCCTAAAAACATGTAGAAAAAATTCTCAATCAACAATAGAATTTCATTTTTAATAACATAGTAAAATGTTATTATTATTGAGATTCAATTTTTTATTATTATTGTTAATTGAAAAAAGTTTAAACAGAATTATCTTAAAACGATCAGAAATCAACTCTAATATACTACTTTAATTTTGCATGCCTTTAGCTCAAAGCGCATAGGTACTTGCGCCTAAAAATCAAGAATGCAACGTTTTGTCGCATGAAATCGTATCTAACAATCAACATATAAATAATATAAAAATCACATAGTGAGGAAGATAAATGATTGTTGAATTTATTATTATTATTATTTATAAATCGATTAATTGCTATTTTTACAATAAAAAAGTGGTCTTAGTGGCTTATGGAGTACATTTATCACGTCTGCATGGAGGGGTAAACACGATAACTTTTGGAAATATCAATTTTTGAACTCAATAAATTTTTTAATCTATTCATCTATCATGTGGAAGGCCATGGAATGTAAATTGATGTTTAATTTTGTTTTGTTTAGTTATTATTAATTTTTTTCGGCCGAGAAATTTTCGGTGTTGGCGCAGCCTTGTAATAATATATTTTACTAAATAGAGTTACAGTAAGTGGATCACTGTATCGTTTGTTCACAGCGGCTCGTGATGAAAAATATCGATCGCTGTAGATATACAAAACATTCCAAAAACTAAATTTGATACATACTTGACCAAGATAAGATATTATTATTATTTATATAATCACAGATTTTTTTTACAATTTATTGTTTCACTAAAAGTACGTAAGATTTTTGTAAGAGTCAGGTAAAAAAGACTAGTTTTTACGATAATGCCTGAGTACAACTAAAAAACTTTTGGAAAATTCAAATGTGCATGCCTTAAGCGCTTATGTTATACGTAAATTTTACACCTTTGGTTAACTTATTTCTTTTATAATTAAGATAGCAAACCACAATAGTCATAATAATTACCTATATAATCAAACATTATTTATAATTGTCTACTACTCTACAATATAATAATACATTTTGTTTATTTAATGTAACCAAATTTTACTATTACTTTATATTGCTAGTAAGCAATAAAGAAAATAATCAATACATTTCAGCATTCCCGGATTTAGGGGGGGGGGGGGGAAACCGGGGCACCCGCCCCGGGCGACAGTTTCGGGGGGCGCTATAATTATAATATGATTGGAAAAAATAGTTTTATTTGCCTTATAAAGCGCCTAGTATCCAGCACACGTTGTTCTGCCAATTATTCACTTGATTTTAATACACCCAGTTGGTTTTTGAACACATCCTAAAGGTTTATTCCGACATGCGTTGCCAGTTGAGTTAATTGTTAGCAACATCTAATGGCGTGAATTTGGATTTAAGCAATTTATTAATTCTATAAAGAATTACTGTTAACAATTATTTAAAAATTAATTTTATACTTATTTTCTTATTTATTAGAATTATCATAAAATTATAACAATTAGTAATTGTTGTAATGGATGTCCGCAAAGTAACGCCTGATTCTATCAATTATCACAAAATTAATAAATTATTTAAATTCAAATGAAGTGGCTTCACGATGGAGGCTCCTCCTTAAGCTCCATTCATACTTTTGATACGATTCCGGGTATTCCGAATAACTCTTGTATCTTGGACATTGGATTTAATTAGACTGAACAGTAGAAATTTCAAGCCTCAGATGATGGTAAACAGTCTTCGTCGTCGGTATTATCTCAGCCGGACGATGACGATCAGCTAGCATCTAGTGAATTATTACAGTCAAATAGCAAAGACAAAATTATCGATGTAATTGATCCAGGTACATGCCCGGACCACAAAAAATTACAGATCAACAAAGATCATTCTTCAGCAAACAAGCTATATTATTAAATGATGAACATCCAAATAACATAGAGTTTATGTCAATTGAACGTAACGGTCGGCCATTTGACCAAGATTCGGAACAATGGTATCATAAGAAAAATATTAAAAGGCCTTGGCTTGTTTATTCGAAACCATAAATGCACTTTACTGCACTGCCTGCAAGTTATTCGCCAGCACTTTTACATCAGCCTTTTGTAATGAGAGTCTCATTATTTGGTAAAAGACTTCGGAAAGATTAGCTGAGCATGATGTATCACAAACGCAAAAAATATTTTATTAAATGGAAAACTCGTCAACAGCAAATGAAATTGTGTCAGGGCACCGATTGCAAGATAGAGCGATTAATTTTCACTCTGAGAAAGAAAAGTAGAGACATATTCTACATATTCATATTCATCGCCACAAATTGTCTTCTTTTTAAAGGTTCTAAAGAAACACTGACAGATTTCACCGAAAGTTTTCCTCAACCTAGTCAAGGAAACTTTCTTAATTTGATAAGTTTGCCCACTAAATACGACGCTCCTCTCAAATACCATTTAGATCACGTAAAAAAGGACGGGTATCCCATTTGCTAAAAACGATACAAAATGACATTATAAATATAATGGCAAACAAAGTTCAAAATACCATTATTAATGTCATTCAAGGAGGCCAACTATTTCAGCATCATGTTTGACTGCACTCACATGGAACAAATGAGCCAGGTGATTCGATTTATAAAAATTACAGAATCTGGATGTGAAATAAAGGAAAGATTTATTGATTTTATTGAAGTTGGTGGAAAGACTGGAGAATATATATTACAAAGCGTAATTTAGAAAAATTAGAGTCTGATAGTTTAGATGTGCACGGATGTGACAAAGAATCTAATATAGCTGGCAGATATACATTAGTTCAATCCAGTATTATGCAGATTAACGAGATGGCAGAGAAAATTTTTTATTTCTTTGTTGGATCCATCACGGTGTAAAATAATGCAAAATTGTACAAAAAGAAACTTAAAAGGAAGTAGTCATAGTATTAGCTGTAGAAAATTTATTAAAGGGTTCTTATTGTTCCGATCACAAAAAATACAACACATTATGTATTAATGAGTTTTTTTAACAAATCTCAAATGCCGAAGAGAGGAGGCGCCACTATGAAGTTTTTGCCCCGGGTCAAAAAAAAAACGTAGATCCGGGGCTGCATTTCAGTAATAGTTATTACCGGAAGTTTAATCTATGGGAGCCCGTAGTTTATAATATTAGTTTCTTTGTCCAGCTCATTTGTACATATTATTGCTGAAAGGGTGTGTCTTTATTTTTTAAGTATATGTTTTATAACTTATAGTGTTAAATTAACTTTTAATATAGCTTTAAAATTAATTATCCTAGAAACAAACCTTTCAAACCACGTCAGCTTTTTGTCCCCGACGTAACGAAGGCCGTGTAATGTTGACGTCTGTAAGTAATCCCTTAAATCCTTGCTGAAAGGCTCATAGTTCGTTAAAACCTGAGCTGGTTTCTCCTATAAAATGGTTATATTTTCTTTAACAAATATTTAAATAGGTATCGTGTTCGATTTCAGAATATTTTTTTCTCTAGTCTGAGAATGCCAGTGAATCGTATCAATCGTTTTTATAATAACGGTTATGTACGATCACGTAGTCCACGTGATGGCAAGTGAATGCTGTATACTATAGACATCTACGTCTATTATGGATTAAAAATCAAAATGTTAATACGTTGTCACCCCTGAGGACTAAGATGGAATTCCTTGTTTGCAGTTAAATGGGTTTCCGTTTCTCTTCATTGTATACTGTGTATTGTTTAACGATCGTATTCTATGCGAGTGTAAAACGACAAATGTTTACATACAACCGTAATATGAGTACCCTATACATTTGTAAACATTAATTAATTTTTGGAGTTATCATTAATTTTTGAATTATTTAATTGACGTATAACTTTAATATTGTTATTTTTTGTGTTCTAAAATGGCGGTTTGAAGAAGGTTGTAGTCAATGTTACGTTAAAGTGGTTAAATGTTAGTAATTGTTTAGTTCAGAGGACCTGGCAGCGGTATTAGGAGAAGGATTAGGAGCCATCCATTCATCTATCCATTACAGCCTATGTAAGTCCACTGCTGATCATAGACCTCCTCATGAAGTACCTCGTAGGGGGGATTTTGAAATATCTGCCACGCTTGGCAGTATTGGACACCGCAGTTTTTTTATTATTTTAAGCTGTTATGAGGAAGTTGCTGCTGTCCCATTTCCTGTTTCAGTTTCCCTCCGTCGCCTCTTTAAGCACCCGCGGGACGAAATAGGGCAGTAGATATCCTTACACCGCCACCACACGGTCCAGTGGTCCAAGCGTTAAGATCTAGATTATTTGATATGGAAAATGAATCTAATAAGAAATATTTTGTTTTGTTTCAGAGAGCACGAGGGATCTGTGACAGAAAACATCTGGCCGCCGAGCTTCAGCATCTCAAGCAAGTATTGCAAGACAACAATCTTCGGGTCCCGCGCCTACGTCACGTCACAGTGAACGAGTGAAGCCGGTCACAGTTTAGCGCGCGTCTGCTGTACTATCGTATGTTAGAGGAGTCACAGACAAGATTGGCTACATCTTGAAGCGAGCTTCCATTAAAACATACTACAAGCCACCGAAGATGATTAGTCAATTTTTACCATTCATCAAATGTAATATTCCTCTAAAAGATGTAGGAGTGTACAAGCTAGATTGTGAATGTAGTCTCTCTTACATAGGTCAAACAAAAAGATCTATAAAGACCCGCATGAAGGAACATATAGCTGACGTGAAGTACCGACGCTCCGGGAAGTCTGCGGTCTGTGAAGATGTTCAAGATCGTCCCCACCATTACATCAGATTTGATAAGCCACAAATCCTCGCAAAGGAACACCGATTCCTACCAAGGATGATACGCGAGGCTATTGAAATTAAAAAAAATCCAAATTACAATAGAGAAGATGGATGGGTGCTGCCCTTCATGATACCTACTATAAGCTCGTTTCGCGTAAATCGGACCAAAAATTAATATTCAAAACTGACGATGACATTGGGACGTCAAACATCTGAGGCCCCCGAAACGTCGGGATAATAAAAAAAGTTAAAGTAGTAATTAAACGCAATAAAATCCGTAAATAAATTTTATTCAATGTGTAGTGTTCGCATAAATTTAAGCAATCATTAATAAGAAATATATTTTTGAGTGATATCGCTCAGGTACATTGTTCTGAAGATCTTATCGTATATATGCATCAGATTCGATTATTGGATTGGCCAGTCTGGAGCCCAACTCAATCCGATTAAGCATGTGTGGGAATTCCTAAAATGATGCATAGGTATTGGTTCAACTAGCGCCATAAACTTAAGAAAACACAAAATTGTGATAGCTACATAATGAGGATGCATTACTTTAAAATTACTATTCAAAAGGCGTCATTCGAAGCAAAATATTAATAAATAGAAATATATTATAATTCTATTGATTCACATCTCAAAATCCCGCTTGTCAATTTTTTAATTCCCTGCTATGAAAATCAATGATTTTCAAAAAATCAGGAGGTTATTGGTTTCACCACTGTTTCCTAAAATCGAGTTTTCATCAGATCTCCACGTTTTGAGTTCCTAAGAAGCTTTTCCGCCCATTTTTACGAGGATGTCACTATGTCATGCGTGCGTGCGAGCGTACGTGCGTGCGTGCGTGAAAGCGTGCTTGCGTGTGAGCGTCGTGCGTGTCTGTGTGCGTGTGTGCGTGCGTGCGCGCGCGCGCGTGTACGTGTATGGATGTATGTAACCATCTCATAACTTTTGAATGGCTTGATCGAGTTGAACAAACTCAGCGGCGTTTGAAATAGCTTCACTAAACTTAGATTTGTTTCATTTGAACTAGTTCGGACTCCTAGTAGATTTTGAGAAATCTCAAAAATAAAATTATTAATTTTTTTTTTAAATAACTTTTAAACAGATGTAATGATCAATTACAGAATCTAATAAGCTCTTAAAATAAAATAAAAAAACATCATATAGTTGAGTTGAAAATAACTTCGAAATTTCTTCCCGGTTCGTTGTTCATGTAATAAATTAACTATGAGAGATTAAAAAACTGCGTTGAAAGCCGTCATGTTCGTCAAAATCGGTTAATTTGTTCGTGATATATTCAATTTTGATAAAAATATATAAACGTCATAATAGGTGGAATTTGGAGCCATTTGCATTTGAAATCAGCGGGAAGTTTCAGGGATGGCTTATAGGGTTAACCGTATTTTTTGTATTTATGGGATTATATTTTATAGGAAATGCCACCAATTCAAAATTAGTGTGAATTACGGTAGATTCACCTCTATCTTCCAAACAAAAACTTTTGTCATACTTCAGTGTGCGGAAATCAATCTGCAAAAATACTACGTCAATCATATAATCTATATAACTCTGATAGTCAAGCAGCACTGCTAGCGCTGAGATCAAACTTAGTGAACTCGAAGCTAGTTGGAGACTGCGTGAACCATCTAAACGCCTTGGGATGAAACAAAAAGGTCGTTTTAATATGGGTTCCGTGCCACGCGGGTATTGTAGGCAATGAACTTGCCAATACGTCCGTACGATACGTCCGGCTTAAAACATTTTAAAACCTTAATCCAGGCTTTTGACCGTAAATTCGCTTCAGAAGCCCGGGGATTAGGTTAAACTAAACTGCTCATTCTGGCAAAAATCTTTCTTCTGGACTCCTGGACAATGTTGTCTTACAAAGCACATGGCCATCCTAGGGCTAAGCAACTAACACTAAAATTAACAAGGATATTCCGGTTTTATTCCTTAACGCAAGAAACGCCTCTGCACATCCTGACTGATTGTGGACCCTTAATGCGTCAAAGTAACACATTTGAGAAACTGTCTACTTCGCCTAGAAGAAGGAAAATTGCTTACAGCTAAGCAACTCCTATTCATTAAAGACACAGGACTTGGCAGTGAACTATAGCCATAGAAGCGATCACAATAAATATTTTAGGTCGCAGTGACACTGGTCTTTCTAGACCTGAATAGCTGCTCGCACAAAAACAAGCTATGCAGTCTGAATCTATGAATTTACCGAAGGTTTCGTTTAGTTTGAAAAATTTTCTCAGAATTTTGAAACAATGCCGAGCCTTTTCATCTACTCTAATAACAGATAGATTCAATTTTTAATCCAGCCTGATACCGAAGAAAGAAAATGTTACTTGTGTACGAAGCCGTAGGTGAGACACCAACTGATCCTAAAGAATTGTTTAAAATGAACGTTTTTTACCCTGTAATTGTTACAATTAAAAGTGCATTGGTTACCTACTTAAATTATACTATCAAAATTCTATGATATATGTTAATATTTATACAAAATGAAAATAATTCCTGAAAGGTCAAAAAGTCTGTGTTGATTTGCGAATCAGTTGAACAGATGGGCATAATGTGATTTGTTTAGTTGTAACTTGGTTCAGGAACTTATGATCATTTTTCAGCAACACATAAAGTTATCAGACTTATTAAAAATAATGATTGGCGGGATATTTTCCCAAATATGTAGACAGCACTTGGATCTTGCTGACTATACCTGTACTATAACTGTCGCTAAACGGAAATGAAGTTTTAGTTCATTAAAACTTTAAAATTTACCTACGTATCTACCATGTGTCAGGAAAGACTGTCATATCTTGGAATCTTTTCCATAGAATATTATATTGCCTGCAGTTAAATTATTCCGAATTACATTCGAAAAAATTCAAGTACATAAGCCAGAAAGCTGGCCATCTAAGCTTTTCATTTTGTCAGTTTGTTGTTGGTAGTTCTTTTAAAATCCCTTTTAACACTGTGTACAGAACAACAATTTAAATAAAATTTGTCAAACAAGATTATTAACTCTTATTATGATAAATAATCTGTACAACTAGTCACCGCAGCAAGGCAAGCATTGTGGCGTTGTCGAGCGCAACAGAGTAGTGCGAGCGGAATGGACAACATTTCTTTAACGCGAATAAGCAGAACAACTGCTATGGCAAGAGAGACAGACACAACTGTGCTTGCTCCGCATAAACACCAATAGATATTTGACACCAGTTCAGACCATAAGTCTAGTCAGAGTCAAACTGATTCAAATACTGTCTAATTGATTGACTGAAGGTCTGCTGGAATAGATGGACAGATTTTTAAATTTTCGTCAATCTTGGTTAGACTGACGGAAATTGATAGTATGAATGTGTTTTTAGTCAACGCTTGGCCTGCAATGGTGACCCCATACGAAATTGCTACTCGTATGTTGCCGCCCGCGATGCCGCCCGCGATGCCGCCCGCGATGCCGCCCGCGATGCCGCCTGTCCATTCAATGCAGTCAACTCAAGAGGAAAAAGATTTTATCTTGTGTTTGGAATCATAACGTGAATAAATTTATGAGAAATGAGGCATTAGATTGCCTGTTATTTATATGAACAAATTAAACTTCAGGCAAACATTGAAGATGTTAATAAGAAAATAAACACATTCATCTATAATTTTACAACTATACACACACTTCATTATAAAGTAATTGTAAAGCATGAAAGCATGTAAGCTAGCTGTGTGGTGAGAAAGTGGTAGGCCTGCTGTAAACTTTATTTTGGGAAGTTAAGCCAGTACCGGGACACTGGTGCAAAGCTGTTGTAACCCACTATGTATAAGGGATAAGGGTCACAGCACGGCTGTAAAAATGTAAGATGTGCAAGCTGGATCGAAAAAGGAATGGGGTGTGCGGATCAGGTCTATTCTATGCGCAGGAAAGGGCTTTGTGACTGAACAGAGTATTTTCATGGCAAATACTAGACTCGTTTGCGTTGAGTGCTAGGTAAATACATGTCAACAGGGCCTACTCGGACTAGTTTGACATCCATAAATTCACTGTCATCCGAACTGTTATCCGAAGACGGCCAAGTAATACTTGCGTCGTCGGCGCCGGCGATCAACTTTACGTTCTACATTTCGCTGTTTTATTTTATTCCTTACCTTGTAATTGTTAACAATTTTCGTGTCCCATTCGTACCATGAAGACGTTGCCACGTCCATCTGGTTCATCCAATAATTATCCTTTAAAACAAAATACATATTAAATATAGTTTTAGATAAAGTTGTATTCAAACAATGACTAAGAGTCTGACTTATTTACAACTCTGTGCCCAATTTTTAGATATTGCTAATTAAAGATTAACATGATTTTTCAGCAGCATTTTCCTGATAATAGCGGAATAAAATAATAAACTGTGGTTGCCAGCTCGCCTACCAAGCGTGGCAATTATGGCAAAATCTCCAATATGAGACCATCTACATGGGAGGTCTCAGCACTTTTATAGCCTGCAATAGATAGATAGATTCATTTGTATCCTAATTGTGTAGGATATTGACTGTTTCAAAGAATTTTGTTTAAATGTTTTAATAACAATTTTGGCTTTGTATTCATTCAATAATGATTTCTTATATTTGCGCGAAAACTACACGTTGATTAAAACTACTTTAACGGATTTTATCGCGTTTAATTTATTTGATTTTAATTCCCGACGTTTCGGGTGCTTTCCAGCACCCATAGTTACGGGGCACTGACGTGACTGACGTCCTGATGTCAGTGTTAACCCAGAGTAATTTCAGCTTTTTAATTATTATTTTTGGCCCAATCTACGCAGAATGAATGCCTTTTGAAGTCTTGCAGTGACGCTTGAGTATAGCTTAAATTTTATTAATTGCTGGGCCCCAAATCCTGCCTCTTTCTCTATTGAAACTAGGATGGTTTTTAATTTCAATAGCCTCACATATAATCCTTGGTAAGAATCGATGTTCTTTCGCAAGGATTTGTGGTCTATCAAATTTGATGTAATGCTGGGAGCCGTCTAGGATATGATCACAAACTGCAGACTTCCCGGAACGTTGATGCTCCACGTCAGCTATATGTTCTTTTACACGGGTTCTAATTGATCTTTTTGTATGCCCCATATATGAGAGACCATATTCACAATCAAGCTTGTACACTCTTGTAGAGGAATATGACATTTGCCGGATAATAAGAACTGACTAATCTTCTTAGGCGGCTTGTAGAATGTTCTAAAAATGGAAGCTCGCTTCAAGATGTAGCCAATCTGGTATGTGACACCTTTGAGATATAGTCAGAGGTATCACAGATAAGATTGCTCAAGCATACGCTCGACTGTAGCCGGCTTCACTCCGTTTCCTCTTCACTACGTCGTCGTCACGGTAGCAACTGTGAAGTGTGAAGATGATGGTGAGATTAACTGTTTAAATATCGGTTTGCATACACGGCAAATCATTCCATCATCCTTCACAGATAGCTACCGTAGACAAATCTTTGTTACAGGGTGCACGAGGGATCTGTGAGAGCAAACACCTGGCTGCCGAGCTTCAGCACGTCAAGCAGGTTCTGCACGACAACAAGCTTCGGATCCCGCGCCTACGTCACAGCTGAAGGTACGGGTTAACACTGACATTATGACGTCAGTCACCTCAGTCCCCCGTGATCATGGGTGGTGGAAAGCACTCAGAATGTCTGGAATTAAAATCAAATAAATTAGACGTAATTAGACGTATAAGTAGTTTTAATCAATATTCATTCAATATTTTAATACTTATATTATTTCATACTGCGTGTTTTTCTTACCATAAAAATTGTTTATTTACCTTTTTGAAAGCTGCTTGCGATATAGCTTTACGAGGGCGTATATCCTTTACTGGGTACATTATTTAGATGAAATTACAGGTAACTTTAAAAATTCACAACAAGTTTTCTTTATTAATGAAATAGATCTCTCTACGGTAAATCAAAGCGAAATACTCATGACACTCTTTTTAATATTCACAAAATGAGTCACCGTAAGCTCATTCCGCGTGGCCAATGTTTGACTACCGGTCGCTTGATTGCCCTAATCTAATGATAGATCTAACCGGCGCCGCCTCTTCTGTTTGATCACAAAATTATACATTTTCGAGTTGACCGTTGTAATTCGCTCACTACTAATTTCTGTAATTAGAGTTTAGAGTAGAACAGTCATAATAACACGGCAATGTTAATGTTAATGAGTTTAATTTGTAGTGTTGTAATAAAATTCAAATTTTAAATATTTAATATTTTTCTACAATGATAAACACTTTCTTTACTACAATGTTAGACACAAGCCGCTCAATATTCTATATTAAATATTAATTATTTTATATTTTTATTAACCTTGTAATAAGTTTTAAAAAATATTGCTATCTCGGAACGGTATCCAGCGGTTAATGTCTGTCACAGTGCGGACAGCTTATTAGGCGTTAACGAGCGACCATTTATCACTGACGTGTTTGTTATTATTTAGTTATTATTATATCATGATTTTATTATTACTGGCATATCACGTCAAATTAGGATTGACTTGGCGTCGTAATATTTGTTCCGGTACAAATTTCTAAGTATTGTAAATTTCTAAGAATTAAGTACCTCCTTTCTTTTCTCTGTAGGTAAGCTTTTATTTTATGGAATTTTATGTTGACAGGTAACCGTTCACCAAAAATTGCATAAAATAAAAATTTTACAGTCTGTAAGGTCGATAGTAATATAAGTTATACAATATACTGCTTTTGACATTCGATACCATTGTGTGCACTATGAAGAACTCAGTTTTAACTAATGCAATATTTTTTTTTGATTTCCACATATTTTTATTAGCTTGACCTGATGTATATTTTATCTTGAAACTGTGGTTTCAATAAGTCTGAATTTACGAGTACGTAATAACGTATCGATTTTTAAAATTATCGATTTTTAATATCATTAACTTCAGGGCGTCTAATAATCAAAAAAATTTGTAGCCATTAAGAACCTTCGACAATATAAAAATGTTACGTCCTTAACTTACTGTAGTATTCTTACTATGATCATCATTGTCCATGATCGATGCGAAACTATAACATTTTAAGTATTTAAACAGTAATTTCATTTTTTACACGTATAATTCAAGGTTTGGTAAGGAATTAAACTCAAGTAGAAATTTTCCATTTTATATAATTCGTTCATTATGTATACATACAATAATTATTATGTACAAAATTGAGTATTTGATAGAAATTTACAAAAGTAACAAAAAGCCAAAGAGAAAGAATAGGCTGACGCACTTGCACTTTTAAAGTTCCTAAAAGAAGAGGAGATCGAAGAAAGAAGTAGAGGGCACCTCGACGTAATTCTAGTGCGTCACCGTCTCCCTACTATAGCATCGCGAGTGACGAACTAGAGCTGCGTTCAGTGAGCCCAGGAAAAAGAAGGAGGAAAGGGATTCACCACTGCTGCTGGGGTGGGTGCGCGGGGGCGGCGTGGGCGGCCTGCGCATGTGCTGCAAGGTGGGCTGCACGCGCCGCAGCTACCTCAGGGGTCTCCAGGATACCATTGCCGTTCTGAGCAAGCCTGATCTGAGCGGCGGGACCTTGCCATGAGGGAGCACCGTTCCACTGGGAAGCGGGGGCGTTCCACTGTTGGTGAGCGGGGGCGTTCCACTGTTGAGGAGCGGGGGGCGTTCCACTGTTGGGGAGCGGGGCCGGCGGGCTTAGCGGCGGCAAGAGCAGCGAGGTGAGCGGCACGGGCTTGAGCAACTTCAGGAGTCTCGGCGACTGGCGCGGGTGCGGCACCAGCAGCGTTCCACGCGGGAGCGACAGGGGCGGCGTTCCACTGGTGAGAGGGGGCACCGTTCCAGGACGATCCGGCGGCGGCACCGTTCCAGGAAGACGCGGCGGTGGCACCGTTCCAGGAAGAAGCGGCGGGGGCACCGTTCCAGCTGCGCTGTTCAGCGCCTTGCCAGTACTCTTCGTTGTCCCATCGGGGATCGTAGGAGCCGTCGTCTTGAGGGTTGGGGTTGTTCTGTGAGGCCTTTTGTAAGGCGGCTATGTGGGCAGCGCGAGCCTGTGCCACCTCAGGTGTGTCCAGGATATTGCGACCATCCTGGGACAGGGCGATGTTGGCGGGGGGACCAGCCCAACCGGAAGCATGAGTTCCACACGCCAACGCTAAGCAAGCTACTACGATCTGTGTGAAAAATAGAAAATTAAATATTACTTAAAATATTCATTCAAACTGATTACAGGTTGTTCTAAACTAGTTCATTGGTATGACCTCGTATGCATTACAAACAGAATTGCTGTTAACTTAACCAACTGTGCCCTTCATTACCAACAAGTTGTTATTCAAAGTTATTGCTGTACTAGTCGCGACGTTTTAAATTATTGCAGCTTTGCTTTTTTCGATATTTTAAAAATGATTTTGTCCTTTTTTCTAATTATTTTTAGGAGAACGTTTTTGTGTGAGAAGAGTAAAAGCAAAATTGTTTTTTTCCCTTACAAAGAGGTAGAGACCCAAACTAGGAAGGAAAAAAAGATATGGGTACACAAAAATACTGGTCCAGTAATGTAATCGAATCTGTAAGTCGCAGCACTAGGCAAAGGTTTAACTACTGCGATACTGAGCCATCAAAGCCGTTCTGTTATGGATTACTGTATGCAATCATTATTGTAATTTATTGTTGTGATACCTTGTATTTTAGATTGATGACCCTCAAATTAATTATATAGGAGCTTTGATATATTAACGTAAGCACATGCTGAATAATGAATTACGCTAACAATTCTTAACAACCACTTTTTGAATTCTTTTCTGAATAAAGGGCCTCAAAGAAGATATCTCACCTATCGGTGAATATATTATATATATATATATATATATATATATATATATATATATATATATATATGTATATATAATAAGCCTATAGATATATACAATATGTAACGTAATTAACCGTAATTAACACCCTCAGACACCCCGATTAGTATATTATGTTATAATCATAATACATACACTGAATTTTAGTTAAACATTTTTATGCACTGATTATTTATCAAATTAGTTATACTAATTCCGGAAGAATGTTGTGGTCACAGTACGAATCCACGAACGCAAGATTTTAACGTGCTTGAAATAAAGTTCATTTTTCTTTATTTCTATTGAATGACAGAATTAGTAATAATACAAATAAAACTGCACTCTTAAAAGTCTTATTGCCTTAAGTTACGGTCCACTTCAGTTTGTTTTGACAGTACAGATTTAGTGTGACTGTAATTTAGGTAGTTTTAATTATTTTTGGGATAAAAAATTACCTATATCAAAAATGATAGGAATCGATTCATTAAACGATTCTGAACAAACTACTTTCTCAAAGTGCGTTAATTATGTTACATGTTGTATAATAAGCATATAGAAGTGCACTGCTAAAACATGAGCCTCCATAAGGATTGCCATGTAAGGGGGATATTGGACATAGTAGCCACGCATGGCAAGCTGGTTTGCAACTGCAGTTTTTGTTAACTGGTTGTTATTAAGAAGACTCTCCTGGTATGTTTCCCTCTATCATCTTTTACGATACCTACTCTTTTTAACATAGGGCGACAACCGAGCACACAGTCCACCTGATGGTAAGTGGTTGCTGCGGCCCATAGACATCTAGTCTAGTATCTAAAATGCAGATGCATTGTCACCCGTGAGTACTAAGATGGAATGCCTCGTTTCCAGTAAAAAGGGTCTCCGGTTCTCTACACTCACCATACGAAACATAGCAGCATTAAGCAACTATTTTACGCTGGTATTCTGTAAGAGCGTGGTCCTTCTACGGTCGAGCCGACCCATTTGTGCTATAACTATACTACAACTATATTATTAATATAACTGCAAAATAGGGTAATGATTTAAAAGAAAAGGACAAAAATATGAGCTAATACTTCTATTGATAAATGTTCCTACTAGGTGGTATGTAATTATTAGGTCGAAGGACTGACTCTTTAGCTTAAGAGTCACGTTAAGGGTGACATCACTTTAATTACCATTAACTACTTCTGCCACCAGGCACAAATTCTATTCCGGTTTGAAGGGTTGCGAGGATGGTTGTGAGGAATGTCTTAGTCTCCAGAGGTACCATAGCATTGGTAACTTTCTGTTTGAAGCTGGTGTCAGGTATCCATGGGCTTCCGTATCCCATATCATCAAGTGGACAGTAAAATCGTTTGTTTTCTTTAAACTTCAAAATTAAAATGTATATTTGTTTATTAATCGAAGTTGTAAAATATTATAACGATATAATATGTCGGACATTTTGATAACACTTATTACGACATATAAGTGAGCATTATAAAATACTATTGACGATTTGTATGAATTGTCTGTAATTAAAATTAATAGGAAAATAATTACTTAATATAGAACATGTATGTTTTATTGGTGTGTTTAATTGACAGTAATAGATTTGTATGTTGTTGAATAATTTATAAATGTTAAGCCACTATTAACTGCATGCCAAATTAATATATTTTAAGTTGTCCGTTTTATGCTTGTAGTTTTATTTAGTAATAAATTACGTCTTATAAGCTTGAAAGTGTTAAGCACGATCTGAATAGCAAACCTTTAAAAAAATATGAAATTTTAATCAGATAAGTGTATCAGTACGGAATTTGGAACAGGCCTAAGTTCAGAATCACGTAATGATGTCAGGGCTTGCGGTCTAGTTGACCGAGCGTGATCGCCTAACCCCGGTTCCGACCCGTCGGTGTAATCTAGTTGCATATTTAGTACTCAAGCTTTAAGTATTAAAGTCTTAGTTTTTATTGGCATATTACATCATCAAAGTATCAATAAGGTAAAATACCAAGTTTAACGCCATTAAAAACTTCGTTGTATCCATATCTATATGTAATTATATAGACCAAAAAAGAACAATTATTACGTGAGTATAAATGAACTTAAAAACTGGTGGTAATAGGTTTTTACCAAATCAATACGCAAAAAAATAATGGAACTAGTAAAATAAATGACGCTTCTTACGTTTAAAAAAAATACAGAAATTTCTTAATACTTAATATTCTTATGAAAAATGCTCTAGTTCGCATATAGTTATTTTAATAATAGAACAAAAAAGATAATTAATTTAAATATAGCTCTTTGTTTTCTAAGCAATTGAAAATGGAATGTTCATTATTTTATTTTCACGCTCAGTTAAAAATGAAGTTAGTGCTTGCACGTGATGTTACAAAATATTTGATAAAATCAAGCACGCGGTTACAATGCTGGGAAAAGTTATTCGCCCTTGATTTACGGCGTTTATGTTTTTGATATGATGAAATTAACTAACAGTACACTCGAAATTAAACAAATTATTTTATTTCCTCATTACAAATAGAAAATGACAAGATTTTAATTAACCTGGTATAAAATCTAGCATTTTTTATACAGGGTTATTTTGCTATAACTGGCCAAATTTGCAGAGAAGGTTCAGAATAAGTAAAGGTAAATGGTGAAGAAAAATTAATAAAAAAATCAAAATTCTATCCCTTTTGTCTTTTTAGTTCAAAATGCGTAGTAATGCATTATTTTAACTGATTTTACTGCGCGCGCACACATTCGTAAGGGTCGATCGGTAGGCAAAAACATTGTTGCCCATAAATCACATTCAATTCGGGATAGTTTCAAATAAAAGTTATAAGCCTTATTTACTCGGTATTTTCAAAAACTTCAATAACGGTATATTGTTGTTAATACATTTGAACTTAAGTTTAAAATTTGGCTGATCTCCAAAAAATAACTGTATATCTATTTTTATTTATGCTTTCCTTTATTATTCATTAGAAATAAAAGTAAGTAATAAGTGAATGGCTGCAAGGTCCGAAGGCCGTATGGAGGTCATAAAGCAGGAAGTCACCTTTCCAGACCTGCCCACTATCACATTCATCGACTTGTTACCCTCGCTTGCCCGTCAATCTGACATTTACTTTTCTATTTATTGAATGTTCTTAACCAGCTATACCAAGATATTAAATTGATTTTCTTTTTTTATATTTCATTCGATATAAAATGGTTTCTTACGGTATTTCTATACGGTTGTAGATGTTCATAGAATGCAGTATCGTCCAATATTAGGCGGAGTAGATCGTCTATTATTTATATAAATTAAGGATTTTTTTTGCCCTTTTCCCGGTTGACGGAATCAGAAGTTATATTAATGATTATAGCATTTTTTTTCTTCACAGTACTATCCCGTATTTGTAAAATGATGTATATAACGTTTTGATAACACTTTGCAGAGGAAAGAAGGGTAGCTTTTAGTGTGACCCAAATGTTAGTCTTCTTAGTTGTCTCCTGTTTTGTTATAGGTTGCTGAGGTAGGCGTTTTCTAATAAGATATAATTATAATATCGATTAAGTAGCGCGGGGCGATGCGTGGGCATGCCCTTCTAAATAGGCGTGCGACGGAATGCCGACAAAAACCCTTAGTACGCGGCAAGGTGAGCGACATTAGAGGGTCTATTCAGATAGATAGGTGTGCCTCAGAATAGAAAAAAGAAATTCCCTAGTGTATGCTTTTTTATGCATAAAACAATAATACATTTGTAAATTCATGTTCTTTTGGTCCATTTCACTCATTTTTGAGAAAATTTTTAAAAGTTGCTATTCATGCCGGCCAAAAATATAAATAAAATTAAAGTTCTTTTGGATAAAGTGCTGGGGATATAGAGACATTTATAGTACAGATTATTGGTTTCTAAAGAATCTGTGCATAAAAGGCTGTGATTTAATAGTAAATTTTGTGTTAGAATAATATAAAAATGTGATATGATAGATGTAGCAACATTATGGAGCTTAAGAGTCAATTTGGCTACCAAATAATTTGAGATATAAAAGCAATTTTAAAACAGGTCCAATTGACACTGTATTTTTTTATAGAATAAGGGTGACAAACGAGCACACAGTCCACCTGATAGTAAATGGATGCTGTGGCCCATAGACAGATCTACATTTATCCTCGATTAAGAATCAAAACGCAGATGCGTTGTCACCGTTGAGGACTAAGATTAAATGCGCCATTTCCAGTAAAAAGGGTCTGTATCTATATCCACCATACGAAACAGTCGTATTAAGCTGCTATTCTGTAAGAGCGTGATCCTTCCCCGGTCGCGCCGGCCCATTCATGCTATAGGCATAATATAGCTGCAGCGTGGCTGTACCACGTATAATTAATTAAATAGTGCAATATAGTACGGGACTGTATAAAAGGCGATAGAAGTCCACATTCGCCTCACTATATTTGGAGTGCTGACGTAGGTGTTGATTGCTGCACTTGCATTGATTGTGCTTGACACAAACTTCTCACCAATACACTGACAGTTGAGGTGCTAAATTGAATGAGACTTTTTCAAAAATATATTAAAATTAAAATCGTATCTTTTTTATCAGCCCGTAAAAGCCTACTACTAGACATGATTCTTCCTCGATAAACGAGGATTTGGATAAGGTTTTTCAGGCAATTTCCATTGGCGCCTCTTAAGACTCCCACGGGATTTAATGAAGTGATGGAAACACGTGCATCGCCACCACACGGCAAATTATTCTCTTGAAAAGTTATATAGTTATTGAGGAATCGGTCACTCGTGAAAAAAAGTTATCATAGCTTCTGAAGATTTGAGTAAAGTTTTTCTTTAATATTCTCGTTTTATGTAAAGGAAATTATCTATTTGGATAAATGCTAGAAAGCAATAAGGGATGGATCTTAAAATGACTGTTTGATCGAAAAGGACTTTTGTTTAAATTATTGCAAATAAGACGATTCACAAACTTGCAATTAAAAAAGGTATCAATTTTATTTTATCCCACTGGATACTTTTAAATAGAACTTTTTTTAAGTTTGCCACCGCTGAATGCTGGATAAAAATAACAGTAAGCAAATAATAATACACAAGACCACGCATAAATAAGTACTAATGCTCTAATTATAGTTAACACGGGACAACTTTCAGTGACATTGAATCACGTAGGAAATGTAAACTGACTTTGATTTCTGTACTTTTCTTATTCTCTTAACCTTGCTTCGGCGTCCGATCTGGTTTTTATAGTTAAATTGTGCGTAGTCACTTATTGGTTGTAACAAAAATAAGTTCAGTGCAGATAGGCGTGCATAGGCTCAATATTACTGAGCGAGATATTTTGATTTATAATCAAAATTAAAAGTTACATACCCAAATGTTTAAATTTTACTGTTCGTAATTTTTCTCTTTCTTTTTCTATTCATTAATTGTCAAGGTACTGATGTGTTTTGCACGGATTGGATAGATCCATTTTTTTTGGTTGTCTCGTAATATATTGATTGCATTTTATATAGCTCTGTCACTTTGTTTTCTTAACCGTTATTACTAGGTACATTTACGTAGGTACGTAAGTTGAAAAATATAAGGAAACACTATATTATTAAAATTGTGTTTTTTTTGGAGTGTTTTTATGTAAATACCGATATACCGATATTGCACTGGAAATCGCGTGCGCGGTATGCGTTGCACGGCCAACCGGTAAATTCTTAATAATTTTCTACATTATTACAAAGGCCTACTTATTCACGTCACGCCTATTATTTTTAATTTTTTAATCGCGTTTGCAAAGTTTGCATTATATCATATTTTTGCTATGTATGCACAGAATTACGGGCAAATTTAGATATTATAATAACAATTTCGTTATATACTTAAAAACTATTTTTAATAATGTACAAAAACAGTAAATTAAAAAATTTCAAATAAAAGTTTTACTTTAAATATTCGAAAAGAATTCGTTGTGTGTTGGATTGAATGAATTAAATTTAAGGTTTTTTATAAAATGGTTATTTAAAAAGTTTATTACAAATGCAAATATTTCCTATTAAAATTTAGAGAATTATTACTTGTATTATAGTTGCAAGTGTCCGGAGATAAAGTGTGACCAGGTGGTATGTTCCGTCAGAACTAGTAATAAATTAAGTTATTGTAAACCAAAACCTGCCATGAAATGTCGTTGATCGTTAGCTTGAACTTAATCTCCAACATAAGTGTCACAAGACAAGCTATTAAGAGGTCATAGTAAGATATAGTGAAAAACAAATGTATAATTTTATAAGAAATCCCTTTGTCTATATAATTATTTTAAATGTTACATAAAATTTAAATATTAAAATTTTTAACTTATGCGAAATAAATTTACTTACCATAGATTTCATTTTTGTGAAGAAGATAAGCACTAAGGTGAAAGAAAGAAAAAAAGAGAAGTTTTGTTCGTAAATTCGATTTGTTTGATTAATAGCGCTGCTGGAAGACTAGTGCCTCCAGGAATCGCTATGTGGAAGTGCAACTTGCGTCTGTGCAAAATGAGGGCGGGTGCTAGCTTTTATACTCGGCGCCAGCGCAGAGGGGGTGTACGGTGGAAGTCAACTTATGAACGTGAAAGTACTGGGGCACGCCACTGATAATAGCAAATATCATAGTACACATTTCAATGGCACTCGCGTTTTTGGATCATTTCTGTGTGTGATCAGATGGTTAGTGTTAACATACGTGATTAATTTTTAATTCTTCTGTCATTAGTGTGGTTTGCTCATTTCTCAAAATTTCCGAAACGTTATTGTTATGGTGGTTGTGGGTCAGTGCAATCATTTCCACCTTTTGAGTACTTTTTTACAGATTATTTCAGGTTGTTTTTTATGTTTTCATTATGTGTGTTTGAATGATAATTACGTTTTTAAGAAAACATAAATATAAGTATGCGCTTAAGCAGCACAAACATTGAGTAGATATTTATATATTTTAAAATATTATTTAAAAAAAGGTTGACAGATATCGTTATGTGCTGATAAATTGTATTTTTGTATAACAACAATAAATGGAAGAGTTCACGAAATGGAGACATACGTTTATATCATTTATGACACATTTTATTCCTTGATGGTGTTGATTATTTCATGAAGATGTTTTCATGCAATAAAACAACTATTTCTATTGATTTTTATAGATAAAAGTTATGTTTTTACGATGTGTTTAGAATACAAATCGTTAAAAAATATGAACAAAGGCTAAGATAGTGACATTTTCGTCTTTACAATTAGCGTTTATGTTGGAATTTAAATTAAGTACATCGTAGAAAGAAAACTAAAAGTATGTAATAGTAAGTTAAACTGCGATTATCAACCCGCCTACCAAGCGTGGCAACTATGCTAAATATCCCCGCTGTAAGGTAATCCATGGATGAGGCCTATATTCGTACAGTGGACATTTGATAGGCTGTAATTGTCACTGAAAAATTAAAGTTACTGCGGAAAAATGAACATGGAACCGTTTCTGTTTTCCTGCAAGCGAAACAGGGGCATAAGTTTATACTAAAAGTCAGTTTAGTTAGTTATTTCTATTATGTTATACTTTTAAAAGGCTGGCCACGTATTTGTAATTTTTCTGGTTTCGCAGTTGTTTTTGGGCGGAGGTAGTAACCGACCACCTGGTGAGCCTCATTCACGTTTGCTCTTCTATTTGATAATAAAGAAATACCAAAGTAACGAAAAAGAAAATGAAATAACACTGCTGACTTAATTAATTAAAAATAAGTTTTTTTAATGCTAGAAAAATGAATTACGATTGTTATCGTAAGTTTTAAGTTTCTTTATCATTTTTACAGTCAGCAGTGATTTTTTACAATCAGTCGTGGTTGAAATAAAGTAAAGTCAAAGTTGGAAAAACCGTAGTTGCACAGGGACCGGGCGCTCGCTTGGTTTTACCAGCAGGACACTTTACGAGCGTCACTTTCAGTGATGCTGGTAAAGTGTGATTTCTCATTCTTTTTTTTATATAATAAGGGTGACAAACGAGCACACAGTCCACCTGATGGTAAGTGGTTGCTGTGGCCCATAGCCATCTACATATATTCTCGATTACTAATCAAAATGCAGATGCGTTCTCACTAGTGAGGACTAAGATGGAATGCCTCGTTTCCAGTAAAAAGGGTCTCCAGTTCTCTACACTCACCATATGAAACACAGCAGCATTAAGCTACTATTTCACGCCGGTATTCTGTGAGAGCGTGGTGCTTCCCCGGTCGAGCTGACCCATTCGTGCTACAACTATCACGTAAAAGTACCAGTATCACAGAAAGTTAATCACAATTTTTAGTGCTATATTACTATGCGCTCGGTGGTGACGGAAAATATTGTACAAAAACATTCACGTCAGAAATTAAAACTATTTGGAGGAAATGTGAAGTCTGCCACCACAAATTGGAACGGTGCGGGAGATTCTTCTTTGCCCCAAGAGGCTCGGACGGCCATTAGATAACTCATTCATATATTTATTACCTTCGATAATCAAAATAAGTAAAAATCCTTACACAGGTGGTCCAAAGCTCAATTATGACGACTCCGTAATGAGATGGCTAAGCGATTGGTCTCACCGCTATGGGCCGCGGGTTCGAATCCTGCATGGATAAAGTGTTTGTATGGTCTACAAACAATTGTTTTGGGTTTAAATAATTTTAAGAATTTATAAAGAAAAAAAAGGAAAAAAAGTACTGTCATAGTTATAAAACTTTATTATTAGTCATCCTTATGTAGTTCAGGGTCTGAAGTCTCTTAGGTCTTTGAAGCAGCAACTGAAAAACTACACATTAGATTTAAAAGACCTGTAATTTCCCGTGTCCAGCTGTGGTATGGTCAATACTATTTTTAGACCCATAGATTATTAATAGCATTTTCTTTAAAAAATAACATTTAGGTATAACTCACTGAACTGAGGAAGCTCAAAATCGCTCATTAAGTTACGTGATTGAAGTCGTTAAAGTTATTAAGGTTAATAAACTATGGCAAAGAATCTGTGTGATAGAATTTGAGATGATGATATCTAGAGTTTAACCAGAGTACTTATTTTAGATTTTAATTATATTTCATTGTGTTTTAATTTCATTTATTATTTATTAAATTATACTTTATTTGTAAACCACAGAATTAAGTATTTGAAGCAAGCAACAAGACATTAATATAAGTTTAAAGTGTAAGTGAACCAACGAGCGTAATTCTCACAAAAGATGACGCAATTGAACTTAAGTCTTACTATAAGTCTTTTGTACACAGCTAAAATAGTGCGTTTCTTTAAGGAGGAAGAGGAGGGCAAAAATAGTATAAAAATAAATTTATAAGTAGAAAATAAATGGCAATTTTGTTGCTTTATAATTTTTATATAAAAATATGAATAAGGTTATTTAGTATACAGTTTGATGTAAGACATGAATGTTTATAACATAAAGGAATTAATGTCCTTTATGATGAGCACGTGTGGCACATAAGGAGGTGAAAGAGAGGTGTCAGGATCGTGCCCAATGGAAGTCCGTAGTTCATGTTATGCTTATGTTATAAATGTTCTTTCTGCATTCGGTTAATATATAATAATATATAAATTATAGATTCGCTTTTTGATTCGAGTCTCGTGGAGAGGTCAATAGACAGATTCATCTCGGCTGGGCAGAGTTCGGGAAATTACGACACATTTTCTAGTCAGGTATACTTCATAACCTGAAAACGAGTTTCATAACCAGTGCGTGTTACTATAGTGGTGACTTTTGGATCTGAGGCATGGAAGGGCCATGATATATAATCATACCGTCGTATCATACATAATATATGGTCATAGCCGTATGAGGGAGCTCATGGTCGCTCAGCGAGTTATAGGGAGGGCTATATTCGGGGTTTCTTTGCACGATAAACTTAGAAATAATGATATCCGCAGTAGAACCATACACAGATGACATAGCTCAATGGATTAGTAAGTTGAAGTGGCAATGGGCTGGCCATATTGCTAGAAGAATCGACAACCAATGAGGAAAAAAGGTTCTCGAGTGGTAGCCTCGTACCGGCAGGCGAGGTGCATTACAATCCCCACTAGATGATGATGATAAGACATGCAGGAAGTCGATAGATGCTGGTGGCACAGGACCTTGCATTGTGACTTTCCTCGGGGGAGGCCAATGTTCGGTAGTGGACCTGTGAAGAGCTGTAATGATGATGAATGTTGATTGATGTTATAATTTAGTACAATTGAAAACAAATATTTGTAATGAAGTTAAATATATTGATGAAACTATTAAATATGTACATAATTTTAAGATATTGATGTGGGAGCGTCACGAAGCCTTTGATGTCTGTAACGCGAAAAAAACCTATATAGATAAAAATAAGAAAATAATAATCCAAATAAATTGCAGCAATTTGTTTTTGTGTTTTATAGTAAATTTATGTATAATCAAGTTCAGAACATTTTGTAAGGATATAAAAGATTAAAAACAAGTTATGACTAAGATTCGGCAAAATTCTTAAAATGACCGGTGCTGATGATTTAGTCTCGTAATACAATCTGTTTTACGAGGGAAAATTATGGATTACCTTATAAAGTTGGCATTATAACGCCAACGTAGTGTCGTCAATAATGTACTCTCGCGTTAAAAGTTTTACAGCAAATGAATATCAATTTTATTTATTTATCGTAATATATATATATATATATATATATGTATATATATATATATATATATATATATATATATATATATATATATATATATATATATATATAAATTATCTTAATATATATAAATTACGTGTCACGTTGTTTGTCCGCGATGGACTCCTAAACTACTTAACCGATTTTAATCAAATTTGCACACCGTGTGCACTTTGGTCCAACTTGAGAGATAGGATAGTTTTTTTTTGCCGATGAGTGACCCACATTTTTTTTTTGCGAATTTGAGAATTTTTAATAGGACATGACAAAGGGTCGTCGAAAGGGGCAGAACAACGTCTGCCTGGCAAGCTAGTATTACTTTTTTTTTACAAGATTCACAGTACGTACTTATAAAGTGATCGGTAAGTCTAACTATGGGCCCGCTTTAACATATGCGTTTTATGCTGCCGATGGCGTTACATCAGTAGTTTTGTACGAGAAGAAGTGTATAAGCCCAGTTGTTCTGACAAACAGACCGAGTTTCGTCACGTCACGGTGGCTAGTATTAAAAGAGACCAGACAACTTGCGCAGGACAGGATTAGTTTGGACAGGACAGTGCACAGGGTGTGCGCAAGCACAGGTAAATAAACAGGAGTTTTCCGAAGCATGGAGGGGGGGGGAACGCTGTCAAATGCCTGATTACGGGCTGCTATTGCGGATTCGTGGATATAAAACCCAATAACTAAT